GTCTCGGGACGCTACACCACGGTATAAGAAGTGAGCGGCCGTTGGTACGGTTGGCAGACCATACCTCAGGGCAGAATTACAACTAACCATGTTAAAAGAGCTTGTGTGATCAAACACAAATTCAACTTACTACCACAAGTAAGACGAGACGACTTTGTCACGTTTAGGTCGATTCCGCACCAGCCGAATGTAGGAAACAGTGCAAAAATTTAGGAGCATTTGATAATCAAATATAAAACTTAAGTGATTCTTAAACACACAAGGCATGTTTGACTGTTGTGTACACAGATTTGTCCAAAGCAATTTTGACTTATAATTACACGACTGATATGTTAAAAAACCAGTTCCAATACACCATTGCCACCTATAAATGCTGCCAAATTGTAACTCTCTTAATTCTCCGACCAATAATCAGTAAGGTAAAACATTCAGCTTGGATAAATATTGTATTTGAACCGAGCAGTCTCTGCCTATCCTTTTTGTTTATTGCGTATAGTTATTTAAGTTAACCAATATTTCAATACTAATTGGATAACTCCTTTTCCAGCACATATTCAAATATAAGAGTTTCTTTGTGTGTTTTGATTTTACGTCAAAAATCCTCAAAAACACTGATCTGATTATTTATTTCCCATTTTCTGCATTTAAACACATTATTACCGCGAAACTCACATTACTGGTACTCAGGATTGGCGATGGTGTTCGTAGGCGTGCCTTGTAAAAAGGGAGCAGATGTGGATCTCGTAAAGCCGATTGAACATTATATAAAAGGAAATCTTGGCTCAGGTCAGGCTTCTGCCTGCAAAAAAGGCTTGGAACATTTGCAGAAGTTGCGAAATGATATTCTAGTGAAACTGGATGATGCTCATGATAGTACCGTGAGGTTGATTGAGTCGTAAGTGTATCTGGTAACGTGTGCTGTATGCGTTTTCTAAGATGCTTGGTTTAATTCCTAAGGTATTCTGTGCTTTTGTACCACTTGTAGTCGCGTAGTTTCTCACTCCACTTGTACATGTTCCTGATTGTGCTTTAACGTGTTTTTGTTCTAGCATAGTTTTTCAGACTCACCCTCTGTCATCTTTACTGAATAAGTTTTCTGAGCATGCTGTGGGATGTCATTGTGGTGGCTAAGCTAATAATAGTAGTCATTGGAAGCTCACTTATGCTGTCATGCTATTATTGTTTCATCTCGTACTGTTAGTCCAGGGTACAGGTTGGTGAATTCTAGATGATTACCTTCTCTGGTTTGAGTCATGCCATTTCTTATGCCTCTTCATCTGGCTGTTTTCTCCTCTAGGTATTGTGATTTGTTGGAGAGCCTTGAGCAACGAATCCCTCTTACAAACCAGGATATACCCATTGCCTATAAGTGGTACGACTGTTTCAGTGGATCTTCGAAAGTTTTTAGGAGTTCAATGAGTACCTTTTAATGCTTTCATCATATGCTTTCTTAGAGGGATATAATGCCGGCTTTGATCGGTGTTGTATGCTTTTCAACCTTGCTGCGTGTCATAGCCAAATTGCTAAAAATCAGAACACCAACGATGACTGTGGCCTTAAAATTGCTGCCAAATCATTCCAAGTATGTAACTTATATCTAGGCCTTTGTCAGCGGTAATGCCATTTTTATCCCTTTTTTTAACTCTTAAGATAGCTGCGGGTATGTTTGACTACGTCAAGATTCTGCTGCCAACTTTTTACGCCCAATCGCCAACATGGGATATGTCGGCAGAAGCACTAGCCGGCTACTCATCTATAATGCTTGCTCAGGCCCAGGAATGTATTTTCATAAAAGCCGAACATGGTAAGTGCTAAATATCCCACTGATTTCCCTAACTCCCTTCTTCTGGTGTAAAATTACCCTGCTTCATTTAATGTCGGCGAGTGCCTCTCTTCCTTTTCAGACGACATGAAACCTACTGTTGTATCCAAATTGGCAAATCAGGCTAGTTTGCTTTACAATGAGGCATTGACCGCTGTCTCCTTGGCTTCTTTACGACCTTATTTGCCCAAAGAATGGTCGATTTTGCTGTCAAATAAGGCCGCCATGATGGAAGTGTATGCGGAGTACTATGCCGCCTTTGCCGCTGAGGCCGAACAGTCGTTTGGTGAACAAATATCTCGCCTTAATGTAAGTCGTCGTTGCTAATATGTACTGTCCAACTAAGATTTCATATTAACGTTATTCTTTTACTAGAAATTATCTTTACACTATGTCTGCTCAAAAATAACAACCTCTTGTACTCCCGCGGCGTTTTTTAATGTACGTAAATGTGGTTCGTTTGATAAACCAAATTTTGGGAAACGCTATACTTTGCCGTAATGGGGCACGGAAATCGGATGTTTTGAAAATGGAACCTGAGAAATTGCTGGTGTGTAGTCTTTTCTTATATTCCTTTATTCATCGAAAGCTAACCATTCTGATTTTCGTCACACTTTAGAAAACATTGGCACTACTGAAGAAGATTTCTCGTAGTGAAGGTATGAAGGATTTCTATGCTAAGGTGGAGAGGACACGTGACCGCGCCAAGAAGGACAACGATCTTATTTATCACGAGATTATCCCAGACCCCAAAACTCTTCCATCAATTGGAGTGGCCTCGGTTGCCAAAAAAATTCCCGTTACATTCCCACTGGCGGGCAAACCGCCCAAGGAGCTCTTTACTACCCTTGTGCCGATTCCAGTGTATAATGCCACCCAGGTAGCTGACGGTGTGTGTCGTCAGATGATTTCTGTCGAGGTAGGGCGTTTAAGAGAGGCTACTGACACCTGCAATGGGGTGATGGCCTCTCTTAATCTGCCTGCTGCAGTGCAGGAGATCGATGGGTCGGAGGATGCTGTCTTCAATCCCCTTTTCGAAAAGGCTGCTATTATCCGCCAAAATGGAGGTGTTGCCGCCCTACGGGAGAAAATTTCTTCTCTAGCTGATGGAAACACTAGGAATGCGGAGATCGTTGAAGATGTAGGTTTCCTTGTATTTTAGAAATATCCGAATTGAAAATCAGGTGCGGCTCCTTCGTTTTAATCTTATTCCCTCTCTGTCGTCTATCACCAATGGTGGACTTTTCGGTTTGTTACTCTTGTTATCGTTTTGAGATTAACTCCATGTTATTCGTTAAGTCTCGAAACCACTGTTGACAAATTTCACAAGGTAGACGTTTCGCGAAACTTTTCTTTGATCTCTGATGTGTGAATACTTTAGCGCATTTGGCCTTTGTCATTTAAAGTCAGATTTATTTGTGTACTATGCTATCATCTCATTTACACTCAATATATACCACGGATTGGCTTTCAATTTCTATGTGGGTGTACGTACCATTAACTTATTGACAAGTGTAAGGCAGCGGAAATATCTAAAGAGACATTGTAAACTTAAACTTGTATAGTAGATCAATTTCACCATGACAATGGTTTATTACTTCAATATTCCTTTGAATTCAAGTGAGGTATTTTATCTCGTCTTTGTGTATATGACGCGCACGTTGATATTGTGCAGATAGAGTTGATTATGTCCTCAAAAACCACATGATTTTAAGAATATTATCAATACTGGTCGCTGCTCCTTGTGCTCACCGCCTGATTTCGCGTTCAATGGTTGGTACATGCGGGTTGCGCATTCTCTGAATATTCCCGTTTATTGTTGCAAATTGATTCCCTTTAATTTGCCATTTCATCTGCTTAGCCTTTTCGTTACAGGGTGTGGTCCCTCCTAGCTGTTACTGATGAAATTTTTTGGCACAGATATTCTCGACGATAGAGGAAGAAGAGAAGACGGACAATGAACTTCGAGAACAATTTGGTGACAAGTGGAACCGTCAACAATCTTCTAAACTGAATAGCGGGTGGCGCGCTGAAATTGCAAAGCACCGTCAGTTGTTGCAACAGGCTGGCCAAACCGACAAGGGACTAAAGGAGCGCTTTAGCGTCCAGGAAGCTTCCTTCGATCATTTCAGTGGCTCGGAGTCGGAGCTACGGGAGTACATCACCTCCGAAATGGAGAAACAGGGCTCATCGACAGTTCTAGGAGGCAGTTCCTCAAAGAAAAAGGCTCTGTGTGCTCTCTGTAATCAAGTCGATACAATGAAGAAGGAGCGAGTGGATCTGCAAAAGCAGTTGGAACAAATAAAGCTCCCTGAAAGCCTCAGTATGTTTTTTTTTTTGATTAGATTCTATATTCCTTTTTGAGGTTTTTATCACGTTCCTGTTATCTATTTTTAGCAAAGGAATTCCTTAAAATCTACCAGAAGGGTGGGACAATCGACGCGCAATCACTTGCTACCGAACACGTCAACAAAGCTCTTGAAAGTGCGCGCGATTGCATTCGGGAGAGTCTTGACAAACAGACGTCCATGTTGAAGGACATTCAGTCTCTTTACGAGTCCATCTTTGGCAAAAAGAAGGAAGTTGCTAGTGCACTGACGACACTTTTAATGGCTGCCGAGGCATACGATCAACTTTGTCAAGATGTGGGACAGGGTATTACCTTTTATGCCGACCTGACTGGCATACTCATTAAATTTCAGAATAAGGTTTGTACTTTACTGTTTTGTCTGGTTTACTGCATCCGTGACGAATGAATGATGAATGTATGTTGAATTTCATCATTTTCTTTAAGCCCCTTGCATATGACTGGTAATTACTTTTCTTTAGATAACTTCACTGATAAAATTTTTCCACCTTTTTAATAATGTTGGTGTTATCTGTTTTTTTTCAGGTAAACGATTACGTTTTTGCAAGGCGAACAGAGAAGAAAGAACTTATGAAGGATATATCTAAAGAAATGAGTTCTGAAAGACCCTGTGGTGCACCTGGTAAGGTTTCTTTTTTCTCTGGTTAGCCCAGTGCTTAAACTGTTTTTGAACAGTTGGAAAATCCTTATTTTTGATTGAATAACTGACAGTTAGTCAACTATTTGCCTTATTTCTGTTTTAATAAGTTCGTGTTTTACAGATAGAGGTCGTCATTTGAAGTTATAAAGACTGGCAACTGACCCGTTAGGAAATGAGGATGTACACTTGAATGTGTGAGGGCGTCATTTGAGGTCATCGATGGTTGTCAGTCCGCTTCTTTTCTTCTTTACATACGTAGAACGTCCTCCTCCTACCTACAAGTCAGCGCCTGAAACTGCGACTGGGCAACCCAACAGTTCGGCGTCGGCCCCACCCCCGGCGCAGTCTTTTCCCCCCGGTGGCGCTCCAGCCCCCGGCTACTGGCCTGGCTACGGTACCTATCCGACTCCTCTCCCTCAGGGCTTTATGCGTGAGTCCACTTGCGTGTTGTGTGGGGTCCTTTATGATTCCCAAATTCACTCTCACATCGCATTGTGGCCTGGTTAACCCCATTTGAAATTGCTTGTAGCATCTAGTAGTGTTGATTGCCATGACTACGACATGAAGATAGGGCAATAAGTAGTTGGTTAGGATATTTGTTCCGAATTATTTACTTTCTGTTATAGCGCCAGGGACGCCTAATATGCCGATGTACGGCATGTATGGTGGTTATCCGATGCCCATGTACCCCATGCCAGGGTTGCCATCACAGACTCAGCAACCTCCGCAGTGAGAATTTTCCGTGTTAGATTCTTACCCTGCCACTGTGCCACTCCTTGCTGCACCCCCGGCGTTCTCTGTGTGCGTGTGATCTTGCTCTCCCACTAATAAGGTTGAGCTACTATTTTTGTTCCCCCCTACTGTCCCACGTATTTTGATCATCGTATTTTCTCTCTAACACTTTTTCATCGGTTAAACACTTTCGAAAATAAATTGTTATAATATTCGTCAACTGTTTTTGCCAATGTAATTATTCTTCTATTGAATGAATCATCAATTACTTGTTGGCGAAACGGGGGTTTGCATGCGCTGAGTTTGCCCACCTAAATTGACCTCATACTTCTTAGTTTAACCCACTCCGTTGTTCATGAATGTCGGTTTTTATAACACCCTTTATACTCGCTTTATGGTAGCCAAACTTTTTGTATATCCGTTTTTAGTTAATGGTGGTCACAATGCTGTATTCTGCATATGCGACTTCTTTCAGGGAATGCAATGATGTGATAGTTTTTTTGGCCCAAAATGGTTCCGCTAGATAATTTGCTGTCTTGTAATGCACGCCGGCAGCTAGTTTGTGTTGGGAGGCTGTAGTCAAGGCAACTGTTTAAATTCTAGTACGAAGTAGACACGAATGAGTAAGCATTTGCAGTAAACAAAGTGGATGCTGTCGCCTTTACAAACAATGCCTGAGATCTTGATGCTGGCCGCATGATTTGTTGTTGCTGAGCCTGTTAGTCTGATGTGGATGCTAATGTCGAACCACTTTTATTTTAGTCAACTCGTTGCAAGTATTAAACACATTGCTATTTTTACCTGTCAAATCACAAATTACCACCAAAATATGTTTGAATATGTCGTGTTTCATGCAATTCTCAAATTCTATTAGGCCTTTCTGTGGTGAATTAATGCGTCTGAACACGTGTCTTCAAGCACGAATGCGATTTCTGACGTCATGTTACATCTGACGCATTAAAGGGAGTGAATTAGTGATTCAGTGGAGCGAATTTACTTGGTGGCTAAATCTGGCGAAGCAAGCTTTCCGCGCCTTTTTCATCTCGATGCTCATCTACAAACGGCACTGCCTAGCCGAATTTCGTTCTCTACCATAACTATAGTATGTTTGTTCGAGCCATATTATACCCATAACGAGCACAAAAACAGTCCAGCTTCATTCAAACCGTTCCAATTTCAAAATAAGGGTCCGTCCACAGCTTAAACTATCAGTTCCAAGGTGGATTTTCGGCGGATCACGGCCATCACTTTCGCGACCACTGCTCTCTTAGTACCCAAAACAATAACCCCCATCTGAAAGCAAATTTGAACACCAAATGGGGCCACCTCTCCAGCTTTCGATTCTTGCAGTTATATTCGAGTATGCTGCTGAAAACTCTATCACCATTGCCGTTACCTCGGGTCAGTGGTGTCAGCAACATAGCTTCTCTTCCGCCTATGTGAGGAACAATAAGGATAACTAATTTTGTATAATTTATACTCAGAAACCTAAAGAACGCTCGGGCTCCCAATGCCATTTTCCAATCTCGCAATTTGGGCAAAGGCATTAATATCGTTCGTACTCCTTTAACTTTGGTCCCCGAGCATCAAACACAAGACCGAATGGTACTCATCATTTGTGGAAATTGATGTTATCAACACTGCAAATATCAGCGTTTGTGTATTTTTAGTGAATGCTATTAATACAATTGTTGCGCGTACTATTCGCTGTGAGGGGTTTGAATTCATAAAGAGGAGCGCGTTTGTTTGTGGTGTGTTAGGAAGATGGAGTACTCAGTGCATACTCTTTTAGCCACAACCGCCTTCTAGTTTATTTCCTTCAGCTTCATGTCATTGATGAACAAGTGTTGCCCACCTTCGGTATATCTGTATAATAATAGCAAATCGGAATCCTGTCCATAAATCTAATCGTAGTCATCGGGTTAAGATAAATAGCGAAAGTGCTTTAAGCTACTTACCAACCTTGTTCCCACAATTACAAGCATCAAAATGCTCAATACATTGCTAAATACCGTCCCTTTTCCTACTGCAAAGCACTCAATTACTTATAAGTAAACATAATTCCCCTACTTATTCAACAGTCTTCAGTAACGATCAAGGCGTGGCAATGGTCACATGTCTTGAAAATTCACTGATAGATCATGATAGCAGTGCACGAGAAAAAATTTTACAATTTCACCGCAACATTTGGATTCTTTAGCCATATTTGGCCTAGGGATTTCGAACCGATGAATTACTCTATGACTTTATGGCTTCGGTTCGTTCAATATGCATACCTTCTACACTGGTGGCGGCTTTACCTACCAAAGCAGTCCCTTTTACTTCTCACTATAATTTGATGATAGGACAAATTCGAAGTTTGATGATGCTCGGTAAATCCTGTACTTGCTTCCCGCTCCCTTATTCAGAAATCCAATCGCGATCCTTCAAATTTTAATGATGAAAGCAATTGTACTTTAAAATAAGCAGTGTCTTCTGCCATTTAATCTGTAATAGCAACAGATTACTCAGTATTTCAGTCTTAACAACGTATTCATCCAGACGCCCTAGATGCTTCGATTACAGATACAGATGTGAAAATAAACAGGAAGCCAATTTTTAGGGCGCTTAGATGATCACTTTCGGACTACTTTGCCTGTAACGTCATCTGACATATCAAATACCAAGAGAATTTTATTTGACCAAATCCCAACGCATTTAAGCAAAGTTTCCCTTAACCTCAGGTGTGACATTTCTGCAGGTGCGAAAGTGTTTTGGACAAATGATATCGTTTTGACAGAATAACTGAGTGAAATAGAACGCAGAATATTTATTCATGGCTGTAGCTAAAAAACAGTAGACATTTTGGTGAGCTTTACTTAATATTTGTGTTTTATTTACCACTTTTGATCGACTTATTGGTAAATTCAATTTACTTGTCCAGAACTGCAGTGGAGAAACCCTAGCTGTTACTGTAGAGTAATCCGTGCGTGTACCACCACGCATTTTTCCTGCTTATAGCAGTAGCAAATGAGCGTTTTTTAATTTCACGTCACTCAGTGTCGCTTGGGTTTCAATGTGTCTATTAACAGATTAGTAAAATTATGAAGAAACCTACGCACTCACATCGGTTTCAGTAGAAAACCAGTCGGGTAATTTTGTTAACTGTGTAACTCTTTGTTTTGATTCTGTTCTACCACTGATTATTTTACAACGTATAGTGAAAACCAGTATATTCAGATAACTTCTGAGTAGGCTTTATTTAAATTACCAAGCATTTACGCATCTACAACCACTCTGTATCACCGCTGCATTGTAACTCAAATGTAATCGCCATCTTAGTTTCATAAAGCAAAAAAATAGCAGCTAACATTTTGAATTCTAAATACTGACAACCGTGCGCGTTATTGCCTGACAGAGGCTAGTAAGTAAAATTGATTGCCCACTGATGTTTACTTTGTAATTTCAAAATCTCTCGTTGGATCCACGAATGGGGAATGAAGAGATGCACAGATATACAACTTCACTAGATCACTACAATTTGAACAATTAGACTTCTTAGTTGTTTTCGAAGAACACAAGGCTGCATCCCAAGTCTTTGATGAAGTCAAAATAATCCAGAATTTAATAATTCAGTTACTCGTTTATCTCTTTGTCTCGGTTTT